GTCCTCCTCTCTGTCCTCCACCGCCGCCCGAATTGAATCGTCCGCTAAACGAGCGCTTAAATAACGTCCGCGACTTCTGTTGGATACCACCGAAGCCGCCGCCACCACCGCCTCCTCCGCGGCCACCTTTACCCCCGCGGGCGCCACCTCTGCCCCGACGGGCGCCTCGAATGCCCTCTCTTTTGATGATGTCGTCCAAAGACATGTCAATCTTCTCGGCCATCGTGTCTACGGGTTTAGAGTCGAGTCAAACACAGGGTTTTTGTTGTATTTGTCTTCTTCTTCTACTTCTTGTGGCGAAAGAGTGGATGTGTTGTCGTTGTTGTGGTCTTCGCGTCTTGAGTTTCGGAGACAAAATCATATCATTTTCATTAATGTCAATACAAATGAACGGCATTTTTGTGTCAGCAATAAAACGGCAAAACATATAATCAATTGTTATAATAATAAACAGCAAATCATTTGACGATTGCTTTTGTATTACAAAATAGTAAATGAAAATCAAATTTAAAGCAACAAAAAAAATGTGCGAAAAAACTAAATCACGTTTTGATTACGTTTTTTGCCCACAAATTCAAAGACAATCCGAGTTTTGAGTCTCAAAAACAAATGAATATATGAGTGAATGAAATGTTAATTACTTTTTGTGTTTTAGTATTGAATTGAATGGCAAAACACAACACAACTAAACAGTCGTCGAGTTTATTATGAATTGAGTTGTAATTGGATTTGAAATGCAATTACAAAACAAAGTCTTGTTTTTGTTGTTTGAATGGATTTCGCGATTCAAACCGATTGTCAGTCCTTTCAATGCTTTCACCGCTTTATCGCATATCAATGCTATTGTGAGCACACAATCCGTTCACAATTTCCAACTATATTAGCGCCCCTTTTGTCCCCTTTTAATGCTTTTATAACGTGTAAACCCCTATAACTTCACTCAATACTACACGTACTTTATGTATAAATATATATAATTTTCTTTTAAATGTGAGATATTTTATACATAAATTACGTGCACTTATTAATAATTACATAGATTATTATAGGAATAATTAATTAATGCTTATTAATAAATATATTTAATTTAATTGTAATTGTTTATAATATTTTACAAAGTTTTAATTAAATTATTCAGTCTCGGTAGAATAAATTGTGCATAAAATTACATTCATAATAATGTAAACGTAATGTATGTATGTACTGATAAAACACCGCAAAAGCCCACGTAATATAAAAAGTTAAAACTTTAAAACTATAGTGTATTACTCGTTATTATGAACAATATCTTAACGATAATTGTACAATAAAACAGTGGCAAAAATCACCATGGTTAATACACAGGGTTAAAATGAGTTATTAAGCAAGTTGTTAAGCATCAACTCATTGGCGGCAATCCCTAAGCAGGCGTTATAATAACGAGCGTTGACTGTATGTGACTGTAATGATAAACATTGACTGAAACACAACACTATTGAGTGAATGAATGAATCGCTTGTTATTTCATCGTCTCATTGATTCACTCATTCATGCATTCATTAGTCATTCAAACGATACACACATTTGAATAGACATTCATAGCATTCATATACCGATTGGTGTGTGTATTGTCTTCGCGAGACAGACAGCGAAACACGTGTCCATCACTTGTCAACACATCCGCACTACACGTGACTGCGAGGGCGAAGACACCGATTGACACGACTCGTGAGGAAAGAGAGGGAAAGGGCGGCGAAGATGCAGACGAAGACCAATAGCCGGCAAACTGGTCCGGGAGGGCAACAGTGTCCGCTGCACAAAGTGATCATGGTCGGCTCCGGTGGTGTCGGCAAATCAGCCCTCACACTGCAGTTCATGTACGACGAGGTAAGTCTGGCGCACACTTGTGGCCACAACAACACACCCGTCCCGTCTCTCTAATCACTTACTAACTCTTTGTTTCTCTTTATTCATATCTGTCGCTGACTTTAATGTCCATCTGATCTGTCGGATCAGTTCATCGAAGACTACGAGCCGACGAAAGCGGATTCGTACCGAAAGAAGGTGATCCTCGACGGCGATGAGGTTCAGATCGATATACTGGACACCGCGGGTCAGGAGGACTACGCGGCCATTCGTGACAACTATTTCCGCTCCGGCGAAGGCTTTCTCTGTGTCTATTCGCTCACCGAATACGAGAGCTTTGCCGCAGTCAACGAGTTTAGGTATGCAAACCATTTCCGCCCACACCTTATATGACACCCTCTTTANATATGGTAAAAATGTAAATCACTTTATATATCAACTAATTTATTAATTATGAAATGAATTAATAAATAATTAGATATAATGTTCACAAAAACACAGTCAGAGAGTGAGTGTGAGAGAGAGAGAGAGACTGTGTTTACGGCGAGCACTGCATTGACTGCATTCACAGACAGACAGTGTGTTTAGTGTTGTGTTTGCCATACATTTCAATCAGAGATCCCGGTTGCTATGGGATACTGTGAGCTCTGTGAGCCAAACACTACAGTATTGACAATATATTGTAACTTGGTAACGCCTTTGCTGTGCAATCGTCGCCACTGTACATTGCCAATACTGTAGTGTTTGGCTCACAGAGCTCACAGTATCCCATAGCAACCGGGATCTCTGANTACAGTATTGACAATATATTGTAACTTGGTAACGCCTTTGCTGTGCAATCGTCGCCACTGTACATTGCCAATACTGTAGTGTTTGGCTCACAGAGCTCACAGTATCCCATAGCAACCGGGATCTCTGATTTCAATGCATTTCACACCACAAACAGTGCTCTGCTTTTTAAGAGCTGCGCTCCACTGGGAAGACGACATTACAGTACAATGAATATTAGTGTTACAGTCAATGCCCGCTATAGTGAATGCATGCCATAATCCGGCCAACAATATATACCTTGTAACTAACAATTACACTATATTTGCCAGTTTACCATTAAAAATGATGGTATATTTAACGATGGTCGTTTATCACCCGCGCGACCAATGGTCTGTTAACTGATCCATAATTTTTGTTATGTATAACTCGTATGCGTGAAGAGTGAGTATTAATTGGTGACGTTAACCCCCGCCAGTGGTTTGTCTGCGCCCTTTGACCCCCACCTCCCGGGTGTCTGGCATTTGTCATACGCGGAGGGCTTAGAGCTGAGAAAATAAGGAGGCATTCATTCTATGTATTATTTTAACATAGATGTGATAGAGATGTGCAAAGATGTGATATATTGAACATCAAACACGAAATAAAAGTTTATGTTTGCTTTATATCTGCTTTTTATTTATTGATTTCCTGTTAAATATATAGGAATTTATATTTTTATCGCACATTTCGCACACAATTAGTTATGCAAATAATGTGTTATCGATTGCCAGTGCCGTCACATTTTGATTATCAAGTTGTTTAGTGAACAGATTGTGTCAATTAATTTGAGGGATACTTTCGCAAAGTTTTAAACAAAATTAATTTCATATTTATTTGTTTTTAATACAATTTCCGTACAATTTATTACAATGTTTGAGTTATTAATATAATCTAATTATTTATAATATTTTCTTTGAAACTTAAATTCTGGGAAAAAAATATTTAATAAATTAATAAAAAAATTTGTCAGTTATTTAGAGACCCTTTTGTGCTAAAAGTCTCGACACTTAGAAATACACTTTCTCTTCGAAGACATACAAAATTGTTATACAAAAAATTCATTAACAAATCACTTATAATTGACAGACAAAAGGGGAAACACATTCTTGTGTTTACAATATTGTGATCATATTATTATCATTATATAAAAACAGATTAGATTTCAATTATATTAAATGGAGTTTTAAATTATTTGTTTTAAAAATGAGATATCATTTCAATCAATATTATTATGCGAGTTATGTAACAAAAAATACAGTAGACTTTATATAGCAATCACTTTTCAAAGAGAAACTAAAATGTATTTACCGTTACTTATAAAATATAGAAAACCATTCACTTATGCCTATTCTTATTCTTACGCCCACTTCTACTGTCATATCAATCACTGAATAACAGCACAAAATTGATGGCAAATTAAACGATTATTATTATCATTAGATCTAAAACTTTATAAAACATCCGTCAATACGTGTGAGCCGTTCCTCCAAAACGAGACATCGGTTTGATTGTGAATATAATTTGATCTCAATTTACAATATAATACACCTCCTCTTCTTACGACCGGCTTTTTTAGGCCCATTACTCGTCTCGCCGTCTGTGAGCTTACGTTTGCGAATCTCACGCATTAAGTCATAAAATACCTGTTTATTGGTGTTTCAAGTGTTAATTAAGACAAACAATAAACAAATAAAAAACAAACAAAATTTTTATCGCATAAAAACTATTGATAAGAGACATACTGTGTCCACGTTATGCCGTGTCTTAGCACTGGTCTCAATGTAGGGATTTTAAATTATTTGTTTTAAAAATGAGATATCATTTCAATCAATATTATTATGCGAGTTATGTAACAAAAAATACAGTAGACTTTATATAGCAATCACTTTTCAAAGAGAAACTAAAATGTATTTACTTATAAAATATAGAAAACCATTCACTTATGCCTATTCTTACGCCCACTTCTACTGTCATATCAATCACTGAATAACAGCACAGAATTGAAGGTAAATTAAACGATTATTATTATCATTAGATCTAAAACTTTATAAAACATCCGTCAATACGTGTGAGCCGTTCCTCCAAAACAAGACATCGGTTTGATTGTGAATATAATTTGATCTCAATTTACAATATAATACACCTCTTCTTCTTACGACCGGCTTTTTTGGGCCCATTACTCGTCTCGCCGTCTGTGAGCTTACGTTTGCGAATCTCACGCATTAAGTCATAAAATACCTGTTTATTGGTGTTTCAAAGTGTTAATTAAGACAAACAATAAACAAATAAAAAACAAACAAAATTTTTATCGCATAAAAACTATTGATAAGAGACATACTGTGTCCACGTTATGCCGTGTCTTAGCACTGGTCTCAATGTAGGGTACTTTCCAGAGCTCTGCCACCCGATGGGCCTCTTCCAGGGAAACCTTCCGTCTCTCGTGTAAATCGGCTTTATTTCCGACCAAAACAAACGGTATATTATCGTCGCCTTTCACTCGCAGTATTTGCTCCCTATTTGTTAAAACAATATGAACACAGAGTTAGAGTACATGTTAGACATTGCAAATACATGTCTTCATATAACATAAAACAACACTACTGTCAGTCACCGGATCTCTAACTGAAGCGTGAAATTATTCAACACTTATGACAACAATTATCTCAAGTGTTTTTTCATAATATTTTTTTCATAAATTATTCATAAAATTTGTAATTCACTTATTAATCAATAAAGTCAAGTGAATCGGTAGGAAGTGATGGCATCGACCCCTTCAACAAAAAGTTAACTCGTGGACACTTTAAAACGCTTACAATATAACCCCGATAGTGCACATCTCAATAGTGTACAACTACTCTACTAATCAGTACTAAATATTGGGTACATTATTGCACAAAACATAGCAATTGTCAGACAGAAAAAAGCATTGAAAAATTGAGTTCACAATAAAGAGGGTGTCATATAAGGTGTGGGCGGAAATGGTTTGCATACCTAAACTCGTTGACTGCGGCAAAGCTCTCGTATTCGGTGAGCGAATAGACACAGAGAAAGCCTTCGCCGGAGCGGAAATAGTTGTCACGAATGGCCGCGTAGTCCTCCTGACCCGCGGTGTCCAGTATATCGATCTGAACCTCATCGCCGTCGAGGATCACCTTCTTTCGGTACGAATCCGCTTTCGTCGGCTCGTAGTCTTCGATGAACTGATCCGATGGACAGACAGACAAGTGGTGGACATAGAAGTCAGCGACAGATATGAATAAAGAGAAACAAAGAGTTAATAAGTAATCAGAGAGTGTGATGGGACGGGTGTGTTGTTGTGGCCACAACTGTGCTCCAGACTTACCTCATCGTACATGAACTGTAGTGTGAGGGCTGATTTGCCGACACCACCGGAGCCGACCATGATCACTTTGTGCAGCGGACACTGTTGTCCTCCCGGACCAGTTTGCCGGCTATTGGTCTTCGTCTGCATTTCACTGCCGTTTCACTCCCTCTTCCCTCACGAGTCGTGTCGATCGGTGTCTTCGCCTTCGCAGTCACGTGTAGTGCGGATGTGTTGACAAGTGATGGACACGTGTTTCGCTGTCTGTCTCGCGAAGACAATACACACCAATCGGTATACGAATGCTATGAATGTCTATTCAAATGTGTGTATCGTTTGAATGACTAATGAATGCATGAATGAGTGAATCAATGAGACGATGAAATAACAAGCGATTCATTCATTCACTCAATAGTGTTGTGTTTCAGTCAATGTTTATCATTACAGTCACAATACAGTCAACGCTCGTTATTATGACGCGTGCATAGGGTTTGCCGCCAATCAGTTGATGCTTAACAACTTGCTTGATAACTGATTTTAACCCTGTGTATTAACCATGGTGATTTTACAACTGTTTTATTACACTATGATCGTTAAAATGTTGTTCATAATAACGAGTAATACACTATAGTTTTAAAGTTTTAACTTTTTATATTACGTGGGCTTTTGCGGTGTTTTATCAGTATATACATACATTACGTTCACGTTATTATGAATGTAATTTTATGCACAATTTATTCTACCGAGATTAAATAATTTAATTAAAACATTGTAAAATATGATAAACAATTACAATTAAATTAAAAATATTTATTAATAAGTATTAATTAATTATTCCTATAATAATCTATTTAATTATTAACAAGTGCACGTAATTTATGTATAAAATATCTCACATTTCAAAGAAAGTTATATATATTTATACATAAAGTACGTGTAGTATTGAGTGAAGTGATAGGGGGTTACACGTTATAAAAGCATTAAAAGGGGACAAAAGGGGCGCTAATATAGTATGAAAATGTGAACGGATTGTGTGCTCACAATAGCATTGATAAAGCGATTTATGCGATAAAGCGGTGAAAGCATTGAAAGGACTGACAATCGGTTTGAAATCAATTCAAACAAAAACAACACTTTGTTTTGTAATTGCATTTCAAATACAATTACAACTCAATTAATAATAAACTCGACGACTGTTTAGTTGTGTTTTGTTTTGCCATTCAATTAATTACTTGAACACAAAAAGTAAATAACATTTCATTCATTCAATATATTCATTGTTTTTGAGACTCAAAACTCGGATTGTCTTTGAATTTGTCGGCAAAAAACGTAATCAAAACGTGATTTAGTTTTTTCGCACATTTTTTTTTGTTGCTTTAAATTTGATTTTCATTTACTATTTTGTAATACAAAAGCAATCGTCAAATGATTTGCTGTTTATTATTATATGTTTTGCCGTTTTATTGCTGACACAAAAATGCCGTTCATTTGTATTGACATTAATGAAAATGATATGATTTTGTCTCCGAAACTCAAGACTCGAAGACAACACATCCACTCATTCGCCACAAGAAGTAGAAGAAGAAGACAAATACAACAAAAACCCTGTGTTTGACTCGACTCTAAACCCGTAGACACGATGGCCGAGAAGATTGACATGTCTTTGGACGACATTATCAAAAGAGAGGGCATTCGAGGCGCCCGTCGGGGCAGAGGCGGCGCCCGCGGGGGTAAAGGTGGCCGCGGAGGCGGTGGTGGCGGCGGCGGCTTCGGTGGTATCCAACAGAAGTCGCGGACGTTATTTAAGCGCTCGTTTAGCGGACGCTTTAATTCGGGCGGCGGTGGAGGACAGAGAGGAGGACAGCGTTATAACAACAGAGGCGGCGGTGGAGGCAAAGGCCAGTCCACTACTGGCCAGTGGTTGCAGCGGAAGAGCAATCAGTTGACGTGTCGGTTGCATCTGTCGAATCTGGCCTATAGTGTCACCGATGAGGACCTGTTTGAGCTGTTCGCCAGCTTCGGGCCGCTCAAGAAGTCGACCGTCCATTACGACCAATACGGACGCTCTTTAGGCACCGCTGAGCTCTTGTTTGAGTTGAAATTTGATGCCATGAAAGCCATGAATCAGTATAACGGCGTTCCCCTCGACGGTAACTATTAGTGTGACTCCACCTCAGCTTTAGATATCACTAATCATATGATGTCTGCCTTTATTTGATCCGTGGTTTAGGCCGTCCAATGAGAATACGAGAAATCGGCGCAAAGAGAGAAGAATCGCAGAGTGAAGGCAGTGGTGGCGGCGGTGGAGGAAGAAGTGGCGGTTCGTTCAATAGAGGCGGAGGTCGTGGCGGCCGAGGAGGTGGACGAGGAGGAGGTCGTCAGCCGAGAACTAATGTAACTCAAGAGGATTTGGATAAAGACTTGGATTCGTGGCGAATGGAAACTGAATGATATGTTTACACATAAGACTATTAATAATTTAAAATACATTTTAACATCGATTTCTTAAGACATAACTTATTTTTTGTCCACAATTTATACTCTAATTATTAATAATTATTATTTAGAAATACATTTTAAATCATAACTTTCACGCCATAAGTCATATTTCAGAGCATTTAGTATTGTATAAAACAAACAAAACCAATACAACATTTATATGTGAGTAATAAATTCATGAATGATTTTTTGTCATAATTTAATTTTGGATTTTGTTTTAACAATTCATTTAATGTAAAGTTCTTATGATTTACTCGAAGTTCTAAAAGTCTAATAACGCTTAACCATAAAGTGAACCCTTCCTAACCCTTCCACTGCTTTAACACCGGATGTCAGGAGTGAAGCCATCAATGAATTAAACGATAAGTTATGAGAAAAACAAGTGATTTAATGATTGGTTTTGTTCACCAAAAGACTGGACAATAATTAGAGGCAAAAACGAGACAATAATGAGACAAGAGTTGAGTCAAAAGTTCGGTTTCGTCGAGAAATTCGAGTCTTTCGACGCGTTGTCTGTCCTCTCGAGACAACAACTGGTCGTAAACTGTGTTCATATCCCATTAAAATACATTTTAACATCGATTTCTTAAGACATAACTTATTTTTTGTCCACAATTTATACTCTAATTATTAATAATTATTATTTAGAAATACATTTTAAATCATAACTTTCACGCCATAAGTCATTTTCAGAGCATTTAGTATTGTATAAAATAAACAAAAACCAAAACAACATTTATAAGTGAGTAATAAATTCATGAATGATTTTTTGTCATTAATTTCATTTTGGATTCTGTTTTAACAATTCATTTAAAGTTCTTATGATTTACTCGAAGTTCTCAAAGTCTAAAAACGCTTAACCATAAAGTGAACTCTTCCTAACCCTTCCACTGCTTTAACACCGGATGTGAGGAGTGAAGCCATCAATGAATTAAACGAACAAATTATGAGAACAAGTGATTTAATGATTGGTTTTGTTCACCAAAAGACTGGACAATAATTAGATGCAAAAACGAGACAATAATGAGACAAGAGTTGAGTCAAAAGTTCGGTTTCGTCGAGAAATTCGAGTCTTTCGACGCGTTGTCTGTCCTCTCGAGACAACAACTGGTCGTAAACTGTGTTCATATCCC